CCGCTCGCTTAGCAGATCTCGCGGAGTCTGTACCAAAAATGCGATCGACAGGAACATATGCGATGTCCAGGATAACGGTGGAAAGCTCAGTCGCCTGTGAGCTTTTGTATACGACTTGAACTGCGGACGGCAAAAACCGGTTCGGACGATTCAATCTTCTTTTTCTTTCAATCAGTGAGGTGAATGTAGAGATGCCAACGCGATTCAACGAAAGGTGCCGGTGCAGTCTACCCATCGGGAATGCGCGCGAACATTGCCCCAGAATCCGGCGTTTTTCGAACCACGGGTGTGGATTTTATAGCGCTCGTTCGTTCGTGGGCCGAATGTTTCCTTGGGAGTTGATCGAGATTGTCGCCATATTCCTGTCCCGCGAACACGCGTTCCGGACGGTCGTAATCGGCGGAACAATTATATCTCGAACCCACGTACGTAGTCCCACAAAAGCGTCACGCAGCAAAGGTAAACCGTGGAAGGAATAATCCCAACACGTACAACGCACGAACGCTACCTCCTACACAGACTGCTCATGTTGTGCCGCGTTAACCTCCGTCAACGACGCATTGTAGGCCCACAAAACAGCTGTTTCTGCGAACATCATCGCGGCAGGTACGGGGGAATCCAATGTCGCACTTTTTGCTGCCGGTACATTCTCAACGCTCGTTGAAAGCAGTATCTTATCATTTCGTTCCGTCAAAGGTGCAGCATACCCAGGTCATCGCCCGCCTTTCGATGATTTCTATTACGGTAAACCTGGCAATCGACCAAACTGGCCGTCTCTAGGTGGCCCAGACAGACGTTCCTGCCTCGCTGCAAAAGCGCCTATCCCCGACACTCGGAGCACCAAACGTGCGCAGGCCACGGAACAGCTCAAGATCATGTCCCAGCTCATTTGTAGTTAGTTTCCGGTTCGGTAAGTGGGTCAGTCATTGGGGATTCCTCGGAATAACCTGACGGCGTTCATTCGCTCCGACGCAAAGAGGAGTGCGGAGAGGAACGCGAGTACGCGTCGCAGTCGAAGCTACTCAAACGCATCGGCTTTGCGGTGGCACTACTATTGGCGAGTGCGCAGACGGCCCTGCGCATGCTCAGTGGCGACACTTCGCGATTTCTCGTTTGGAAATAACGCTATACCCGAGCGGAAATTCGATAGCTGGGTCAGGTGCAGGAAAAGGGGGGAAACACTCGAAACGTACACCTCCCTCGACATCGAAGACAGCGCGAATCAAAATCACGCGTCGGGCCGGACAAGAAAGCACCCGGAACACTCCGGGTATGCCAGCGATCGAGCGAGCCTAGGAACGTCCAGCGACGACATGGTGAAACTGGGAACACGGTCATAGATCTCGATATTCGCCACTAGAAAGGAGGCTCGGGACACAGTTGCCTTCACTCGGCATCCAAGACTGTTTACCGTGTATAGATCAAGTTCCCCAGCAGGGACTGTGGTCACCGAGAGCCGCCCCGGGTGTGGGCACCCCATTATCGCTCAGCTAGCAATTGGATTGCGGGTCGATGGGAACGGCCAAGAACATACGAAGGCACCTTCCTCAAGCTGGAGCCTCCTGATCGTACCTTCCAACTCAAAGGTTCCGTCAATTTCGATCGATTGGGTACCGCAGGATTTGCACCGAACCAACTCCATTGCATGAGCCGGGCTGTGCCTCGTTGGAGGCGCGCGGGCGGCGCGCGACGAGATGAGGGCGCGGGGGCGTACTTTGGACGCCCCTCGAGAGGCGCCGCCGAGCACATCGAGGTCGGTCCCCGGCAGCGTGCAAACACGTGTCGGCAGCCTCGGAACACGCGGGGCAAGCACTTTCCGAAGGAACGGCCCTCTCGAGCACACAGCGCCGCGCGAGTCGGCTCAAAGTCTGCGCCTCTGCGGGTTTCTGCCTCTGCATCCGCGCGGTGTTGACGCAGGTTACGAGGGTTTGATTTCGGGAGACGCGAGCGACGGTGAAAACAAAGCGTTTGATGATCTTTATGCTCGAGACCCAATCCTATAACGATCATTTCAATAAAAATGAATGGATCGCAGGAAATGCGGAACGCCGTAACCCTCGAGAAGTTCCCGGTACCTCGAAGGCAAGACGTCCACTTTGCTCAAACAATGCGTCAGACTCTCGGACAAACGCCGGCTCGAATCCCTCACCGCCACTGAAGGGTTCCAAACTTCGCAGGACGCCGCGACGCAGAAACGCATTGCAAAGAGATGCACGCCGTACTCGAAACGGAGCGCACAGCGTGATCGATGGTTCCTGGAAGTCTGGGCTGCGCAACCACGGCAGGCCTGCTCGTCTCGCGGCAACGAACAGCGAGTACGACGGACGGAATTGGAAGGAAGGCGTCCTCGGGCACAGCGACGGGGCCCCCAACCCGCGCTGGGGTCCGTCGCACCATGTCGCGTCAAAATACGTCGCCGAAGAAAAGGTGGCGTGCAACCGAGACTAGCGTGAAGGCACTGCGTGGAATGAAAACGTGCACCCGTCAATGGCAAACGCCACCAGGCGATGCTCCAGTCTGACGTCCCAGAGAGCTTCCGGTTCATTTAAAGAATGAACAAAGCCCACCTTAATACCGTTGCTTGAAATGTCGATGACACGTTTAACCACCCTTTAGGTGAACGCCAAGAAGCGCAAGACCGGTTAAATTCGTTTTCGAATATTCTCGTAAACCAACTTGCCTCCTCAAGACGTCCAACTGTACAGCCGAAGGCCGTCGTTAAATCTCCAACTTCGTTGACTGTGGAGCATTTCTTCTTTCTAGAACAGGTGACGTAACCAAGCTCGACAGGCTTGCAAAGACGGTGCGACCGGAAATCGCTTGGGAAGCGAGCGGCAGTTCATGCTTGTAAACAGCAAAAGGGTCTATACATAAGCAACGTAACAAATTTTACCAATAATTGGCACGCTTAGGCGCGAGCGGGAAGAAATTGGCTGCGTGAATGGTCATGCATCGAGCCTGAAACTCGTACGGCACCGCTGTAGTGTCCCCGTGCGCGAGGGCGCAATGTCTGTCCACGTCAAAGCCGACAAAAGTGTCAACTGAATCGACCCAGCTTATTTCCCGGATCGAAAAGGTAATTTGAGAGCACCGAAGAGACCGAGCAGCGATTACACGTGCCCGTCGCACGACACCGAGAGCAGAGCCCGCCAAGACGCGTCGCCTGCCCGGCCACACGGCAGAACGCGGCTCGGAACACCTGCCGGCGACATCGGCGACGTGGCCGACCACCGAGACGCGATGCCGTCGTTCGCAGCCCCGAAGCTGTCGCCGTCCCAACACGTCCGGGTCAAGCGGGGCCGGCTGGCAATCAATTAAGCGCGGCTGGCGAGGTTAATCTCGTTCAGATGCCTATCAGCTAATGAACCCATTAGGAGCCCGTCGGCGGCGTGCTCGAGACGGCCGCGGCGTCTTCGGCTCCAATGCTCGTTGGGCGCTCCTTCGGGAAATGTCCGCGGAACAGCCGGCCTCGTAAAAGGTTCTCAATCGAAGGCGTGCTCGCGGCCGATCGAGATTGGCGTCGCGACGTTCGAGTGCCGCGGAAGGCCCGCCGGCAAGCACTCCGGTCGGTCGGCCCGGGCGGCCGTGCTCTTGGATTTCGACAGTATCCGGTGGTGGTACAAGTTCACTAGGAAATAATCGGCCTTTCGGATGATTTTACTTCAGGGTAGCTCGCCAATGATCGAAAACCACACACAAAAGAAAAAGGCGAACAGACCTTGTAAGTATTTCAAAACGACCAAGCAACGTGGCGAGCGACGCTTTCGACTGCACCGGGAAACTCGAAATAGCGAAGCAATTGCGGGGGCTGCAACTACGTGAAGAATGGAGACTCGCGCGGAAGAAACAACGAAAGAGCGGACACTCGGAACCACGAAGCAGAGTTCGAATCACATTTACCGTGGATGAACTTGCTCAAATTAGACATTTACAGTATCAGAAAGGAGGGGCATGTCCGGAGTATCTTCGCTCCTCGGCGAATGAGACTGCAGCCCGGTAAGAACGAATCAGGAGGCCAGAAGCGTCACCAAGTCACGCCCCAGGTTTCTTGACCTGACTTCAAATCTAAAAAACGCCATTTGGCGCGTCAAGAACGCGTGCCGTCACGGAAGACGAACAAACCATGTCCGGAAGCACACCGCGGAGGCTGGTGAGAGCTGTTGCTCGTGTCCCCGGCAGATCGGCGCGAGGTCTGTCATCGAGCTCGGGGGTTCGGCTCGCTCGCCGGGGCCCGGCGAAAGTGGCCGGCGGCGGCAGCGGGGAGCGGACAGGGGTCGGACGACAACAAAAGGCGGCAGGGTGCCCCAACAATGGCACCCCGGAGCAAACTGGGCCGATCCCCACCCCGACGAGGAGGGGGCCCCGAGGTACGGCGACGTTGTCCCGCGCGGAAGGGAGCGAGGGCCTACACGTGCGGAGGTACACGGAGGCAGCGCGTCGTCGTAAATTCGAGTCCTCGGACGCCTCTCCCGGCGGAGCGCGAAGAACACAAGCGAGAAGGCTGGGAAAGTGAACGGCACTAACGAGTACGCCGAAAGGCCCTGGCTGTGCAAACAGGGGACGCCGCTTTGGCACGACGCTCGCTGTTTACCGAGCGCGTACGACGTCAGCGCTCGCGACACGCTGCACACCGGTGCCGCTGCCACGGTGTGCTGGCTTGTAAGCGGCGGCACGCTTGCACTGACAACGCGGGGACAGGCCGGACCTGCGATCGCCGATAAACGGCCCAGCTGTAGCGCGCACTGGGTGACGGCGCTTATCAATGTTGACAAACGCGAGGCACGGAGCGGTCCCTTCAAAAAAGGCGGCGCTGACACTCGGCGCGCGGTCGACCGATCGCCGCGGCCGCTGACCGGCGACCCCGGGACGCGGCACCCGGGCCTCCGGGGGGCCGTTATGCGCGTTCGTAGGGACTTCAAAAGAGGAACCACAACAAGCTCGCGACTCCGGCAACCAACATGGCGGCCCCCACAAAAAGTAAGCCTAAAGCCCGGACTCACCTGTTTTTTCCTTGATTTCGCAGAGGACGCTGAAGAGGGCTGGCTTCATCCGATGGCAGTTGAGCGTGTGTTTCCTAGCAAAGAGAGGGCAGAAAGACACCCCGTGAGCCAAACTGGGGCTCGGACCGGCACCGCGGAGGGGGCTCGGTCGGAAAAGCGGCGCTAAGCCTTTCCGAGCCCGACGATTCCGGCGTTAGGGTTAGGGAGTACGGGGAATCCAGCGCGCTTCGCACAGGCACGGGCACACAGGGAGCGGCGTCCGGTCGGGGCCGGTCGCCCGGGCCGCACAATCGGCCGCCACCACGCAAACACAATCCTCGGGCGTCGGGCACAGCGGCGCAACTCTGCGTGCGGCGGCGGGGACGTCGCGGGCGGGCTACGTACCTCGCTTGGGCTTCGTCCAAGCTCTGGTCGGTGATGTTCATGATCTGTTGGAGAATTTCCGAAATGTCGTGTTTCCTGGGCTCTTGGTCCGGCGCGGCCTGCTGGCCCGTCGGGTCGACACCGTGCGACTGCGGGCCCATTCCGTAGCCATGCTGAGGCACAACATGACCCGCCATGCTCACGATGGGATGTTGTGATACTGGGTGCATCATTCTTTGTTGCTCGTCCATCGCTCGGAGGCACCTCTCACGGGCGGCCCGGCCACAAACACCAGCGGTAGGCCTCACACGGCGTCAGCCACCGATGCCGGAACACCACCATCCATAAGTCCGCACACACGCGACGCTAAACCAACTGTAATTGAGTGTTTTGATTGGAATACTTTTGACGGACAGCGAGCGGCTTCAGGGTGGGTTGAACGATAATGCCAGTCAAGCCACTTCGCCATAAAAGATGAGCGTATGCTGTGACGACAGCTACGTCATAAAAGAAAGTGGCCAATGGGCGCGCCGAAAGGCCGTCACGTGGGGACCCGAGATGGGTGTCAATCACTTGGGAACCCTCCAGCGAGGCTCCGCCCACTGCGTGATAAACGACAACCGGAAGTTCCGGTTCAGACCTCTGCGCGCATGCGCGTTCTGGTTTTGGCGAGCAGCGCCTCTACACTGGCGCCTCTTTCTTAGAATTTATCGAACTATTATGGCACATTTTTTAACTAAAATTGCATAATATACGCACAAAAACGCATATAAACTATAATATTTAAAATATGTATCTTTCGGAGGCTTTACAAAAACCCTCATAAAAGTTTTAGTTAGAATGTGCCCGGACTAAATGTACTTTTCCATTTAAAAACATTTAAAAATAACACTTTTTTAAAATTTTTAACGTCGGTATTTTTATCACTAGAAGTATGACGTTGAATTTTTAAGAACATTATGACCAGAAAGAGAAATTGACTGCTTCTAGATGGCAGCACATCCAGGCAGCTCTTTTTGTGAACTGTAGGATGCTTGGTTTGATTGTAATATATCGAATTTAAGTATATTTTTAGCTATATTCCGTCGAAATTTAGCTACTGAGCGAAGGTTCTTATCGGCATTCTCATCGCCCTACACCGTTTTACTCCAAAGGAGCTTGCCGAGTCCAGGAAACGTGCGTTCTCGCGAAGTGCCGATTGGTTCGTGCAAACTTATGTCAAAAAATCTCGTTGTTTCGTCGAGTTTTGTTGTCTGAATGGTGATTGCTTGATAATAATGAAAGCGCCACTCTTTATTGCGTCTTCGGCTCACCATCGCACACAATCGCGGAGCCTATAACTTAGCTTGAGCCGTGATAGAGGTCTGTAGCAGTCACTTTGTTAACGCTTTTTGGTGTGGCTTCACCAAAAGCTTTGGTGCTACTAAAATAGCTTTCGATTTTGATGTTTGTGGTGATTCCAGTGCTACGACGGAGCGGTTGTTTGCATCTCTGCGGCACCTTTCTCTGCTCGCCGGGTGAAGCGAGTTTCCCGCAGCTTCGCGAGACGCACGGGATGGCGGGCTGCCCACGGTCCTGACCGTCCACATTCATGTGAGTAATGTTAACGTGAGTACCTCTTTGGCTCAGCTGAAGCTCTCGTGTGCGTGTGTGAAAATTTTGATTTCATATCTTGGCTGGTAGGCACACTCGCGTGCGGGTTAACGTTTGTACACAGCCTCGAACGCCACCCAGACTCACCTCCTCATTCGCAAGTAAATATTATTATTATTACGATATCCTCATTGAACCAGAGCAAAAAAGTATCCACAACGGCTCGCAGACACACGCACCTTGTTATAAACATTGCGCTATTACCTTGAGTGTCCTCAAATAAACGCAGAAGAGCGAGTTTGTGATCGAGCAGTCCTGGGGAAGACTGTTCGAGTGGCCAGGATACTGATTTTGATTAATCATCAGACGAAATTCGTTGTTTGTTGCCCTACTCAGACTGCATTACCATGGCGAAGGGAAACCGAAACAAACCAAGGAGCGAGCCTGCCATTTGCGGAAGTCACTGTTCTATGCCAAAATTCTGATTCAAATTCTCAGGTCTGATTTATATCGCTCTGAGCCTGGCACTGAAACATTGCATGCCCGTGGCCACACAGCCAATGGTATAAGCATGAGTGAGATGCAACTGCGGAGGAGATCTCTCTGCTCAAATGCTAGTCAGCATTGAGGGACAGCTCTGTGTCCGTCACGCTGTTCTACAGCATGTACAGTCGGCAGCAAAAGTTTGCGGGGCGCAAGAGCACCAGCCGGAAGGACTGGTTGCGCCTTCTGATGGCGCGCGGCCGCTCTCAAGATTCACGCTTCGGGAATGCGCTTTTTTTTATGCTCGCAAATGTGTCTTTTTTACTTGCTTCCGTCTGATGCGCAAGAGATAACCAGTACCGGCGCAAAGTGCCGCTTGATCAGTCTTATAAGCACGTCTGCCTCAGCCGTGATGGGTGACGGAGCTCACATGCTACAGATAACATTTCGTGTCACCTTGCGTCACTTCCCGTTATCTCGTGGGCGTCGGACGGAAGCGAGCACAGAAAACATGACTGCAAACACAAAAGGAAGCACATGTGCAAAGCGTGAGTCGTGAGAGTAGCAACGCGCCGTCAGAAGGCGCAGCCAGTCATTTCGGCTAGCGCTCCTGTGCCCCGCAATCTTTTGCTGCCAACTGAACACTAACGCTCCGATCCCACTTTGGGCGGTATGCAGAAATTGGTTCCTTAATGTATCACAATGTATCACATGCTCCACCTAGCTGCACAGAGGTGCAGCTAGGTGGAGCATGCATGGAGTTAAAATATCTAAAGATAAACTTATTAACTTAACCCCTTGCCTACTCATTTTTTTTTCTTTAAAGATCGTACAGAAAGCTTTATTTAAATCAAGCAATTTGCGTCAAAATAAAGAAAAACGTTTCCTTGACTTTCAGGCGTAGTCCCGTGCTCTATACCAGGACTTCTGGTCGTTTCCTCTTCTTCAGTAGTTCTTCACAGTATGATAGAAATCGAGAGATTAGCAGAAACCTCACATAGGACATCGTTTTGCCGAAAATTGGGGTCTCCACTATGGACCTTTGGACCAGTTAATTTTGACTGTGTGTTCTTTCACTTGCGTCATAATGATGCACAAGGCAAAGTATGCCTTTATCTCATCCGGAGTGGTGTCAAACCATTGCTCTTCATAGCATTTCTTGGGACGATCCTCGTCGCCCATCTCTTGTTCGGCGTAGCGATTTGTCTCAGCAGAGACAGACGCCCAAAAATCATGACTTGCGAACACGCAAAAGGTCGACAAGGCGCTTGTCTTCTCACCAAGACTGCGTTGAACCCTTGCTGACACACCTGGGGTTTCTACAAAGGTGAACTGAGCAGGCTGGTTGTCCCTCTTCTCCCAGTTCCACTGACGTGCAGACGCCGAAGTCGATGAAATGCTTCCAGGATTCGCATCGTTTTCAACACTTTTCTCACTGTCCGTTGAACTCTCATCGGATTCCGAGTAATCAGAAAGGCAGCAGGATTCGTCGTCAGAAATACTGGCGCATTCATCACTTTCAAAAAGAAGTCTTTGTATATCTTCGTCCGCCAAAGCAGACCTCCGCGCCGAAGACATGTTTTTGGCGCGCTTGCTTACAAAAGCGCGCTTATTTTTTGTCAATGGAGCGCCCTCTCTCTGTCAAAAGGCAAAGCAAACAAGAAAAGAACCCAAGATAAACAGGAGCAACAGGGGTAGTGCTGCCATCTGCCGCAGAGCTCACAAAACAAGCTCTGAAACCGAAACACGAGTCACACTCGTGGTCGGGTTTTATGGTCCGTAAATGGCGGCACGAGTGACACTCGTTATTAGTAGGCAAGGGGTTAAAGGGAAAAAAAGAGAAGCCTGTCTCAGGCAATCTACGACGCCATCTCCCGGGCGACACAGACGGTGCTTGTTGGCTTGGAGAAGCTGCCTAAGGTGTGCCGATTTCGGTTTCGATACCAGACAATCTAGCGAGAGTTTTTTTTCATGCATACGCCATCTGTTGGCAGCATCTCCAAGTCAACGAACACTGTCTGCGTCGCCCTGGAAACGGTGCCGTAGATTGCCCGAAACAGGTTCTTCTTTTTTCTTTCTCGAATGAGGTAAGTTTATTCGTCGATATTTTAACTTTATGCGTGCACCACCGAGCCATCCCTCTGTAGTAGATCCCAGCGCAATACGTTAAAAAATTATCTTTACGGATTGTCCAAAGTGGGGTTCAAGCGTCGGCGTACATGCTGAACAGAGATTGTTGCAACTCTATGCTGTTATACGTTCAAGACCTGTACCGTCAACCGGCACATTTGGGCCTATAGAAAACGACGCAAAGTATCCTCGTTGCATTCGCCTACGTCCGACACCTGCACTCACTTCCGCGGGTACGCTTTAAGCACGGCACGAGTCACGGGCGAAGAAGAGTGATGTCCGAACGGTGCCTCCTTGCCAAGGAGCAAGCGTTTCGAAGGTTCACTCCCATTTATGAAAAACGTCTGGAGATGGCGCACCATTGGTGGACCTCGAGGAATCGTCCTTATTCGCACACACTTTTCCACAACCGCGAGGCACACGACAGCGCCCGCAAGATGGCTGTGCAGCGCTCCAATACCAACCCAACAGTGCCTCCGCCAAATGACGCCTTGGTGAAATTTCGGCTCCCTCCCTGGCCTCGTTCTGACGCGTCTCTCTTGTTCCACCATGGTCCAAAGACACCGGAATCTCGCAGTCGGCGTGTACGTGTGCAGATGCCGTCCGTCCGAGCCTCCCGCCTTACGAGGGGAATTCTGACTTTCCTTCGTATCCCACAAAAGGCAAACTGAAACATCAAAAGATTGGAAGATTAGAGCCCTTCTTTTGCAGTCGGGGAGTGTGACAGAAGAAGCTAGACGGTGGGTGTCTCGAGCAAGAGTCCCTACCATCGGCGACGTGGAGGCGGCCAGTGAACACTTCCGGGAAAGGTTGTTAAGACATTTTCACTTGCCAGGTTTCATCAGCATTGAGGAAACTTGAGGTGGATGAGCAGGCAAATGCACTGCACGTTTCTCGCGGCATTGCTCCGCTTTCAAAAAGCGTGTTGCAGTGCGGTCGTTAAAAAAAAAGTGCGGTACTCTCCCCCTTTGATTTGGTTCATTGCCCCGAAGCAAAGGTAGCGCTCGACTTTCCACTCTTGTGTGGGGCTCTCGATGACGAGGTGCCGAGCTGTTAACCCTGCGGCAGCTTGTCGGTATTTGGGTTCGAGACCGACAATGTGTTGAAGCTGGAAGGAACAACTTTGCAACATTGATGCCTGCTTTCAACCCCACTACTGTGAAAGCCTGGGAGGATCGAGGGAGCTAGTAGTCATTTGTTGAAACGTTTGAGACCAGAAAGTGTGCTGTAAGGTCAATGCAGTTACATCTCAGGTGCATCCGCTGGGCCTTGCGCTCCACATGTGGCGTCGTCATGGTCTGTGCTCTTAGACTCGGTGGCGTCGGAACAGGGGAAGCGATCACCTCCCTTCCCCCCCCACCCAAACAGTTTAGAAATTTAATAGAAACAATATGGGGGAGGGGGCGTAAAATCATCGTTGCCCCCCCACTATGACCACTGTCGCCCCCCCATCTCCTGAACAATTCCGACGCCTCTGCATAGACTCCTGTTCTGGGCCCAATCGGCAGCTCATTCGAAACTTGATATTAACCGCGTGTTATCCTACATGCTCAAATGCAAGCGTTGGTTCTAGTCATTCAAAATTTTGGGTTTTTCGGTGTGCAAAAGGTTGACTTCATCTCTGGAAAGCATTTGCTTCAACATTGGTGAAGGGAATTGTGTAAGGCTTTTGCTAGATGTCAAAATTTCTCTTCATTGATGTTGAAAATAGCATGTTTTGCTCTAGGGGAAGAATCGCTTGGATTTGGCATTTTGAGCATATTGCATTTTAGATTTTGGGCCCTACAAACATGGGTCAGTGTATCCAGCTTGCAATATGAGTGAATGATGTGGCTTTATGGTTCAGCACTGTACATCCGCTGTCTCTCCTACACCCTAGGTGACACGCTGGATAAGCCTGTTCAAGGATTCTTAGAACATCGGAGAAAATCTCATGACTAAATTAATGAAATTTGGTGTATTACGAGTATGAGTTGAGCTATTCATATTTCCTCGGATTTCATGCTTCAAGATACTGGTCGATGAGCTTGGAAGTATGAGGGTCATTGAATATCTCAGCTCTACAAGGACAGAAGCATATGGAACTATTTACCGCTGGTTCAGCGATCTGGTTGTGGTTGAACTTTCCAAGCTTTCCCATTAATCTCTAGGCCCGCAACGCAAAGAATGTTTTTACCATAACTAATTGTAATTACACTGAGTTATTGGATTGAACTCAGGAGGTGCCATTTCTTCACACACAGAGTCTTATAGTTGCAGAGCATGACGAGATAACTGAGTCTTATCAAGTGGTCGAGGAAAAATTAAGGAACCAAAACAACATGGGCAAACATTTTATGAAATTCGCAGTATAGCTTTGCTTAACTGGCTATAATGATACCTCGTCTGGCTACTTTCAAGCCTCGGGTGGCAGAGAGAAAAAAGTCGCTGTGTGTGCTCCTGGATAGTGCATAGCAGAGTTGTAGAATGTTGCTATATATTGTGCAGTGCATAGATACTGATGAGAACGCTTTCGAGCTTATCTGTCTTCGGTGCTGCCAAGTTTTAAAAGCATTTTTCAGGTGTAACTTCTACTTTATTAGCACTCGGATAACTTGTAGCATGCTGGCTTGGTGACGCCAGCTATTGTCCGATTTCAATCAAGGTGAGAATGAGAGCGTTCTCAGCTGCTGATTGGACGTGGCACCACAGCTTGCGCATAATCAATTGTCAATGAGGCATTTTTATTTGTTTACGAGTTCACAATCGGGCAAAATTTTGCTGAGAACTCACCAAAATACAAATAGCTAGAGGTCTTGCTGCCCCTGATGTGCTTGTCCTTGGTAGCCCTTCATCCACCGGTCAATGTCAGCTTGTGTACGGCAGCAGAACAACTTGAGATTTGTAAAACAAGCGCGAGTTATCAATGGTTTTCAATGTGAAATAGCAGACGATACCAATTTCAACTTGCGTCCGATCTCACTTCATCGCGGCGCTCGGTTCGTAGCAGGTGTCAACTTTGTTCCGGTCTATTAGCAGACACAATGTATGGTCTCTTCTCGATTTATTTCCATCTGTGAGTATGCTTCTTAGCAGAAGAATCACTGTCTTCGCTTGCAATAGCGCTATTTTCACCCGCTCCGTGAGAGGCAAATTAGATCTCATTTTTGGGTGACAAAAACTCGACACCAGGACCACCATATGTCCCTGTTTATCCACCTATAACGCCAGCGGGTGCCAACCATGGCCATGCTAGCAGACATTGTGATGCTGAGGGGTATCCTCATATACAACCTTCTTGACAGGATAGTGTCATCTTCGTCATCATTTCCAAAGGTTTGTTACGTCTTTGAAAGAGTGCTCGCTTTCTCCAGCCCCTCTCACCACAGGTACATGTTATTGGTCAGTCTGCTTTCTGCCAGTTTTGCACCTAATGCCTACTTATATTATTTTTACTTTGGTGCACATCAACAGGGCTTCAAACAACAAAGGCACCCTCCTATGAGACCAACCGACAAAGCAAAGAACACTGAAGTGCCTGTTGAGAAGCTTGTCTAGCTTTTTGCCTTGTTGCACGCATAGACAGTTGCCATGCTGGCACCAAACCAGCACTAGCAGCAAGTGTCGGTCACTCACACTTTGTAATGTTTCAGGTCATGAACAGCGAATCTCGAGGGCCTCTCCGGAAGCTGCCCCGAATCCAAGCAGCGGCATAAAGACGACGACGCGCAATGTAAGCTCGTAAAACCTTTGACATATATCTCCATGAAGGGAACTTTCGCACAACAAAGTGCGACGACAGTTGTAGCACTTTGTGCACCTCGATGGCTGTGACATTTAAGATGACAGAAATAGTTGTGTCCATGAGCACGGCTGTGTTTACCGCCTGACGCAGCAAGGGCCAATTATTTGTGTATCCACCGTTGACGTTCAAGTAGTTGCATGTGTAAATATTCTCTTAAAGTCTGCATCTTCTTTGTTCTTCATATTCTGAGACATCATGCACGTCTTTATTCACACCCTTTTAGCAAGGCTTATTTGTTCATCGGGTGTTGTCGGGTGGTCACACACCCCTACTACCCGGTGCATGACCGCTTATACAGTTGCACATTTGAGTAGGCTTTGTAGCATTGGATATCAATGATACGGGTCCAATGAATATTGCTCCGGTGGTAACTTCCCCTAGCAATGGAAAGAGGATGGAAGCTTCCACAGGGACACAGTTGAGATCTGAAGACTGAAAATAAAAAAGGACGACTCTGGTGCAGTTTGCTCGCTTGCACAGGCATGAATCTGCAGCTTCAAGAAAGGCTTTGGTTGCAGGTGTAGCCGTAGTAAAAGCACACGCCACCTTGTTAGCTCAGCTGCTGGAAAACATTCTGCAATAATCGCGCGTCTGTGTAGTCACTGTCGAGTGATCGTTGTGAAGGCATTTGACGACTGATGAAAAAGAGAATGATGCAGACATGTTGTTTTTGTTGCCATTTTTGTCTCTGAAAGCACCTTATTTCTGGCAAAGGATGCTCGTCCAAAGGTTTCTGAAAAATTATCTAGCTTCTTGATTATTTTGGCAGTTGTAAAATGCATTAATTACAAAAAGTCTGATGTTGTCTTTGTTGCATCCGTAAAGCACATTGACACAGGCACATACAATTCCTTCTTGAGTTGGGAAGAACACCAAGGTGACGAGGGCGTCGCTTTGGCAAAATTTCACACGTGAGTAGTTTTACGGATACATGACCGGGTTTCATCCTTTCTAAAATAATTATTGCGTTCCTAGGCAATAATTATGCCAGGTCAGGCACTACTTTCCTTTAGTAATGTGAGACACATAAATTCTGCATTACAACGGGACACTTTTACCGAGTAGTCAAGTTGCCCCGCAGCTACAACCTGTTGATCGCCTTTTGGCCAGAGGTCGGCATTTTAGGTCGACCTCACTCACCCTCACCCTCACTGCCACACCCACCTAAGCCCCTCACTCACCCTCACAGCTACACTCACCCTCAGCCACTTAGTCACCCTCATCCTCACAGTCACACTCACCTTCAGCCCTTCACTCACCCTCACGACCCTCATGCCCCTCACGCACTCGTGGCCCTCACGCCCCTCACCGTCTTCACGGCCCTCACACACTCACCACCCTCATGCACCTCACGCACTCATGGCCCTCGCACCCTTCATGCACTCACTGCCCTCACGCATTTACCGCCCTCACGCACTCATGGCCCTCATGCCCCTCACGCACTCACCCCCCTCACGGCCCTCACGTACTCATACCCCTCACGGCCCTCACGCCACTCAGGCCTGCTTCAGACGGGGCAATTTCGCCCAGAAACTTGACGTCGCAACACCAGCACTCGGACCGCCCACGTTCACACGCAGCAACCAATTACTTCAATTACATCATGACATTTTATTTTTCTTGCACTATTTAGTCACACAATTAGGCACTACAAACATGTTTTTATGCATTTAAATCTATTTGAAAATACTAATGCATCTTTCTGAAACAGTTAATTTCCAAAAGCGATCAATTTCAGCAAGTCTTTTGTTGTCATCATCACCGGCACGAGGTATCACGTCAAAATATTGCGTCCCTGATTGGATGCAGCCGCTTCAAACGTCTTCGAATTGCTCCGAGTAGCTCGCTTATTTTGAGCCGCACCCAATCTCAGCAAATTGTGTCGATCTTGGGAAAGCTATGGAACAACCCGTTTGAAGGGGGCCTCACGCACTCACTGCCCTCACGCACCTCACGCACTCACCGCCCTTACACCCCTCACGCACTCACCGCCCTTACACCCCTCACGGACTCATGGCCCTCATGCCACTCACACACTCACCGCCCTCACGCCCCTCATGCACTTGTACCCCTCACGCCCCTCACGCACTCACCGCCCTCACACCCCTCACGCCCTCATGGCCCTCATACCCCTCACGCCCCTCACGCACTCCCTGCCCTCACACACTCACGGTCCTCACGGCACTCACTCGTGAATTTTTCTTGTTCAGAAACTCACTCACCCTCACCTCAGCTGTGAAGATGAGGGTGAATGACAGTGAGTGAGGGCTTATGAGTGAGGTTTGCTGAGGTATGCTTTTGGCACGCAGCTTGCCGCAACGCCTCAAAATCTTAAGACGGGAAAGGTTCAAAATTGAGTCCTTGCTCCAGTCGACTTTGCACGGGCCTTTCTCTTTGTTGAGCCCTAAGCCCTACCCTCTTCTTTCAAAACGACCTCGGCACTTTTGTTCAGCCATGTTGGGGCCACATTGCCACTCTTATTTCACATTGACATTTCATTCGAGGTATAGGACGAGAACTTGATGACTGCAAGTATGACCGGAGGCTGAAACGTCTTGCACGAACTTAAAAAGACACTGAACTCATACAAATTGTTTTCTTATAGGCAAACCCCCGTCAATATTTCCGAATTTGGGATTAAGACTGTTTTCAGCTTAGTCAGTGTCCCTAAATTACAAGGTATAATTTTATTTTATTTTTACATTCAGCGTAGTTTTATAAATATCACGGCTCAAAGTTTGGTTTTGGGCGTGTACAGCAAAACTGAAACTATCTACTAGAGATGGATGGCAACACTGATATTGTTACGAATGACACCAGGGGTGAAATAAAGAAACTAAAGGTTTACTGTGGCAAACTTGTGCCAAACAAAAGATGAAATAACTGGGCGTCGCAGGCTTCGATATCCGCTTAAAGGCCGACGTACAACCTCGGTTTTCTGCAGGGAAGATAATCCTCTTAGCGCTCCTCTCTCCTAACCTGCGAGGGGAAGCCAGGTTGGGGCAAGGCAAAACGTGGAGGGGATATAGGAAAGGAGGTGGCGGGCAAAAGTGGAAAGCGCGAAGTGTACGTCGGCCTTTAACAGAAGGATTGAGCGCTGGTGAAAGACTTGATGCACCACGCTGCGGCTGCTTTTATAATCGCTTCGTGTCCCAGCATGTTTTAATACAGAACACACAACAAATAACTAGAATGATCTGAAAACTTCCAGAGGAGAAACGAGAGGGAAAACTAAACATCACTGGTGGGATTCGAACACGGGTATTCTGCATGGGATCCGCGTGCACTGCCCACTCAGCCACACACATGGCATTGAGTTCAGTGTTCCTTTTGAAAAGATGTGTCGTCCCGATACAAATAAACAAACAAGAATAAAAACGACAGTGATTCCTAAACAAACAAAACTGCATTCGGAGTCCTATCGGTCATAGTACGGCTTGAGGCGAACGACGTGAACGACCTCGGGTCGCGGCGGGCGGTATGAGGAAGGATGCTTTTTGTCAAACAGCACTTCATAGTTCAAATCTCCAAGGTGGCGAAGAACCTTGTAGGGTCGAAAGTAGCATTTCAGGAGCTTCTCGCTGAGACCTCGGTGCCGTATCAGTGTCCACATAGAGTTATTATAATGTAGGCTGGAGGTTCAACTGGCGGTGGTGTTGATGCGACTTCCGGGAAGCAAATTCAAGCAGACAGCAACCAGTCTACTTTTGCGGTGCTCCTGTACATTCGTATTGGAAAACTCGCGTGCATTTTGTCTCTTTACCGATAAATAACGTGGAACATTTTTGTTATTTGGGTCGTACCGAACATTATGTACCTTTATTAACATTCTAAAAGTGTACTAATTGCTTTAGTCAGCACTTTTTTTTTTATCAGTGAACAATGTTTAACTTTGCTATATTTCAGGCCCGAACCTCCCTTCCACAGCAGGGGTGTAAAAACAAGCAACGATTCTAAGCAAAATAACCATCAAAAGTAATATAGAGTGTGTTCCAGGCTCGCCAGCCTTCCGGTGACGCTTATATATTGCTAATATTCCAGTCGTGTCACTAATAAATAAATAAATAAATATCAAAATGACCTCGTCTTGCATCTTTTTGAGCAGTTAGCAACATTCAAAATGTAAAGAATAAAGTATGCGGGCCCTGAAAGGTGTCTTTTTATTATTTTCTATTCCAAGCAACTTCTCAAATATTTCAAGCATATGGGTTATGGTTTGAATGTAAAACAAGCATCTTCGCAGGGCAAAAAGAATAAAGCAGTACTTACTTATTGAAAATCTGACTATATTACGTGGTTTTAATTTATTTTGATTGTACATGCACGGGGAGTTACTGATCCAGTGTTATTGCATAGTTCTTGCTGATTTTCTTAGTTTTCTAGATGTCCTTTGTTTGTATGGCACGTACATTCCCCATGCTGAAAAGCGCCGACGTCGTGATTGCGCTAACAGTGTCCGACAGTACACATTTATAAATGTATGAAGCCGGTTTAGCACAGTTTTCAATGCAATGAATTGGAGAGAAAAACGTCGTAACTGACCATTTATTTCGTCAGCCTGACTGAGAAATGTTCCAAGTTACCTAGTACGTACAAATTATTCTGGATATTTACTCTTATAATCAAGCACAAGGAGAAAATGCACTCACTTTTTTTCCATAGAAATGCATTACTGCAGGTCAATTTTCGACTGGTTGCTGTCTGCTTGAATTTGCCACAGCACACTAGCGCCATTTGAACCTCTAGCGTACATTATAATAACTCTATGGGTGTCCACACCCATACCCAGTGTTAAAGCTGAAAGTGGACGTCACAATGACGGAGGTTATACCGGCATGCATCGACTCACTGTTGGTCTTGAATTCTTGCCAGTTGACAAGCCTCCTCCGTGTGCCAGGAGACCAGTTAAGCGTCATTGTCGCCTTTGT